AGCAGACAGGTGACAGGTAGGCAGGTGACAGAGATACTCAGAGACGGCGCGTGTCTGTGGGCAAAGCCTGCACGTGTCCAGACCTCAGGGGCCACTGATCACCTAAGGTCCCCCCATATCCCATGGGTTCTGTTTCTCTGGGGAACCTTGGCTGGTCGGGCACGTGGACGGCAGCAGCTCAGCCTGAGCGCCGGATGCAGAAAGGCAGGCGGGGGACAGACAGGGTGACGGCCCCCGACGGCCCGCAGGGGATGTTGCCGTGAAGGACAGGAGAGGAAGGAGGAACGTGACGCAGACATGTTCCTGGGACTCGGCCATATTCCACACGACTGCACCGCTGGTCAGGACGGACAGAGAGGCCGCACGGCAGGGGGCCAGGGACGGGTTCTGAGCTGAGTGTCCTTGAGTCGGTGATGGATGGGACCCAGTGTCCACGGAGAAGGAAGGACGTTCAATCAGGACACGGGCAGTCCGAGCGTGGGAGCAGGATGAGCCCGCCCGTGAGGTGACGGATGTCCTGCGGGCAGCTTGCGGAATTCCCTCCGTGAGCCGCCGCGTCTCCGCGGACAGGAGGCTTCGGAGCTGCCGGGGAGGCGGCGGTCGGCAATTTGGGGCGATGCAGGTGGCCCCCGTGGGTGTCCCAGCAGTGATGTGCCTGGCTGCGGGCATGGGCACGAGGGGTGGAGGGAGCTCGGTGGGGTTCCTCCAGGTGACTGTGAACAGATGGGGGTGAGGGGCCTGCAGGACGTGGAGAGGGTGCCGTAGCGGGATTAATAATCACCGGGTTCATTCACCCTCAGCTCCAGCCATGTGTGGGGGGCTCTCTGGACCTCACAGATGTCTGAAAGGCACCTCTGGCTCATCCTTCCTGACCAGACAGACTCCAGGTGTTTCTTTACTGCCGTCCCCACCCCCTTCCACGTAGGTTCAGCTGCATAGAGCAAAACAAACAAACAAACAAACAAAACCACAGAAAGCAAAACAGCAGCCACAGAAATAGCGGGTAGCAGTCCCTCCCGTGAAGAAGAGAGCAGAGAGGCGGGAAGGCCAGGCCTCCACAGAGGCCTCAGGGACCCAGGCTTCTTCCACCTCAAACTCACAAAACGAACCCTGGAGCTCCTGCCATCACAGAACCATCCCAAGTACCAAGCAGGAGACAGTGGGGAGAGGTCAAAGGTGCACCCCACTCAGGCTGCTCCCTTGAAGGGGTCTCCCTGGAAGTCCCTCCCAAGGCGGCCTCTTCGATCTGATTGGCCAGGACTTGGTCACGTGGCCAAACCTAGCTGCAAGGGAAGCCGGTCCTGAGGATTTTACCCGAGTGACCTGCGGTCCCTGACAGAGCCCAGGTTCTGCTGCCGAGGAGCGAGAAAGAAGCGGCATCGGTTAGGCAGTCGAGAGTCTCTGCCGCCCCCTCCTGGTGGCCTGCTCCACCCCCCTCCCTGTCCCCCCACCACCCTGTGAACCACCCCACCCTCCACCCAGCCGCTGAAGCCAAACTCCTAGAGCGGACCTGACTTACTCTCCTGCACATCCCGTCAGCCTACCTGTAACACGTCCAATACTGTCCCTCCCGCCCCTCCCGTCCCCTGTCCCTCCCGTCCCCCGCCCCTCCCATCCCCTGTCCCTCCCGGCTCCTACATGGCCGCCCACCTGAGGTCTGGCCCTCCTGCCCCCCACGCACTCTGCCCTTTCACAGTCCACTCTTCACGGCAGCACGTCTGTCCATGTCACCACCCCCTTAAAACTCTGCACCTCGAACTTGGAAACCCATTGCTGGCAAGGTCCTTCGTGGCCTGAACCCTATGAGATCCCAGCTCAGCGCCTCGCCCCTTGAGCTTTCCGAGGTGCTGTGGCCACGGTGGACTGCTGTCCCCCCAGCACCCCGACACCCCTCCCACCTCCGGCTCGGTATTTACTCTTCCCGCCGTTCTCGCTGCTTCGTCTCAGCTGAGAACTCACCTCTGCCCTGCCGTCCCGTCCGCCCCAGAAACGCCTCCTCTGACCCCCAACTCCGGCCAGTCTCACGGTCGAGCTGTTTTCTCTCTTTACCACGCTCCTCGCCACCCGGAGTTACGGTTCGACTTGTCTACCAGTGGACAGTTCGGCCCGGCCGCTGGAACGTAGGCCCCGTGGGGGCCAGGAGCCTGCTTCTCCTGGGCTCGTGGCCGTCCCCACGTCCACGGGTGTCTGGCGGAGTGAACAGGTGGGGGCGTCCGTGAGGGGGTCCCACCTGCGGCACCCTGGATGGGATCAGAACGGCTGCAGCTGAGGTGAGCAGGGGCCTGGGGTGCCAGCCGAGTGTCCACAGTGTGAGAAGAAACCACAAAACGACACGGGCACGAGCCCGTTTGGGCAGAGCAGATGACTACGGACACTGAGCGCGTGCGGCCCGGGCCACGCAGGGGCCACGCAGGCTGCACCCCTTCTGGTGACCGGCTGCCGTCCAACCCGAAACAACCCGAGAAAGGGGAGCCCTTCCCAGAATGACAAATGCTCGGTTCCCACGGAGGCGCGGGGTAGGTTTCCACACGGGAGCCTCCGCCTGCGTGACGAGCCCCGGACACACTGTTTGCTTCTGCGCGGAAATGTCACGGGTGAAACGGATGAACCGGGAAGACTTCCTCTGTCGCGAGCTTCCCAGCCGGCTGGTGGCGCCGGCTGCGGCGGGCAGGACGGGGATCGTGCGAGGAGTGTGAACTCGAGCCCTTGCACTGTCCCCGCTATCAATGGCTCCGAGACCGAGGGCCATTTTCTCTTCCCAAAGCCGCTCTCCGCCCCGCCGTCCACCCGGAGAGCAGAGCCTCCCCTCGGAGATGCTCAAATTCGAATCTCTGGGCTGTGAAGTAGTTCGAGGAACGGTCGGCTCGGGGGTCATGACCTCTGGGTACTCAGCATTCCCGGGCTGGCCTTCAGGCCCTTAGCTCCCTCTGGTCACCTTGGGATCAAAGCCGTGTCCCCAAATGTCTGCAATTAATGCTGAGCTCCCCTGTCACCAAAGGTCAGGATTTCACACGGAGGGGGGGTCTCTGCATGGCTGGTAACCGTCGGAGAAGGACCGCTGGCCGCTGGGGACGGTCCACCCGGACATGGGACCCACCGCGCCAGGTTTGCCGGCTCCACCCACAGCCCTCGGAAGACCGGCCGGCCGGTGTGCAGCGTGGACGCGCCCCATGCACTGCCCTTGACACGTGTCCTGCTTTCAAGTCCACTTCATTAATGACCTCCGAGAAGACCCCGGGAGAGAGTGCTCCCCAACCCTGTGCAATGCTTAACACGCGATTGCACCTTTTAGATTTCAGGATTTTTTAAAAGAGGTCTTCCCCACCCTGGCCGGTTTGGCTCAGTGGTTAGAGCGTTGGCCCACGGACCAGAGAGTCCTGGATTTGGTTCCAGCTGAGGGCATGCACCTCAGTTGCAGTTTGTCCCCGGCCCTGGTTGGGTCGTGCGGGTGGCAGCCAGTCGATGTGTCTCTCACATCGATGTTTCTCTCTCTCTCTCTTCCTCCCTCTCCCCTGCCTGCTCTATCTAAAGATAAATGCAAAAATGTCCTCGGGCGAGGATCAACAAAAAGAGAGAGAAAGTCTTCCCTATCCCTATTCCAGAGCCCATTCTTATTTATTTATTTTTGTTGTTGTCAATCCTCACCCGAGGATATTTTTTCATTTATCTTCAGACAGAATGGGAGGGAGGGAGGGAGAGAGAGAAACATCAATGTGAGAGAGACACCGATTGGCTGCGACCAGGGCTGGGGACCGAACCACAACCGAGGCACATGCCCTTGACCGGAATCGAACCCCGGACTCTGGTCCGTGAGCCGACGCTCTAACCACTCAGCCACACCGGCCAGGGCCTGAGGATCAGTATTTTATTTTTTTTATCCTCACCCGAGGACATTTTTCCATTTTTTTGCACATAGAGTGGGAGGGAGAGAGAGGAAGAGAGAGGGAGAGAGAAACATCGATGTGAAAGAGACACATCGAGTGGCTGCCACCCGCACAACCAACCAGGGCCGGGGACAAACTGCAACCGAGGTACATGCCCTTAGCGGGAACTGAACCCGGGTCTCTCAGGACCGCAGGCCGACGCTCCAACCGCTGAGCCAAACCGGCCAGGGCTGAGGATCAGTATTTTGAAGTGAGGCTGGGCCCTGCCCTGGGTCGGACTCTCCTGGGAAGGTGGCTCTGGGCAGGGAGGTCTCACACGTCCGCCCTGACTCTGAAGAAGACGCCGGGTCCCAAAGGACAGGGGACGAGGACAGGAGGACAAACGGAAGGAGGGGGAGGGCGAGGGCAGGAGGAAGAAGACAGCCGTGTCTCCATCGGACAGACGCAGAACAGCCAGCACTGTCTCTGGGGGAGCGACAGGCGAGTGACCCCGACAGGCGAGCTCAGGGACCAGGACCCTTCAGGAAATGGTCACGGATCCATGGACACCGGTCACCGAGGGACGCTCTGAAGCCACACCGCCCGCGGAGAGGCCAGCGTTTTCAAACCCTGGTCCTGACTGAGCAGGTGAGCGCGGCCATCGACCGCGGACCAGGCGGCAGCAGGTCCTGGGTGGGCTGGGTCCCGAGGTGGCCGCTGGCCACACGGCCCGTCTAGGAGCACCGCCTGCGGGGGCGCTCGGATGGGGAAGGCCCCACTGCGTGGGCTCACGGGGGGGGGGGCGGTTGGAGCGAAGGCCCCAGCGAATGTGTTTTCCCTCCAGCGATGAAGGCGCAGTCTCCACCTTCTGCCTGGGAATCTGCTCCCTGGTCCCCCAGGTCCACGTGTCAGCCGAGTGCGGACACTACAGAAAGCGTGCACGTCGTCACTGGAGCAGGACACGGAGACCGTGGGGAGGGGCCAGGAAACCATCTTATACCCCTCCTGGGGCACAGAGAGTGATCCCATCTAAACCTATTAGATACTCCTTTTAAATCAAGGGGTCCGGGGTGTGGGTGGGGATGGTTCTCACTATCACAACAGAGAGGCTGTGTTTGGACACCTGATGGCCACGCACTTCACTTTATTCGCTTGGACTGACCCCTCCCCCGAGCGCACGAGGCGTGTGCGGTGGATGTGCGGACAGACCCTGGTGATGAGAGGCACCGCGGGGTCGAGCGTCTCGATGTCCTTCAACCAGGGACAGAGTCCAGCTCCAGACAGGGGCACTTTATATCCAGCAGCGCCGAGGGACGGGACCGGGAACGCCGGGCCCTTCACGGCATCCAGGCGCCCCGGGCAGACGGAGCCGTCCACTCCAGCCAGGGCTCTGCGGCTCCCTCCGTCTGCTCTCGATGCCCGGACAGGGGGCCTGGACCCTGGTGTCCATCAGACTCATTAACGGGGGCGCTGGTCAGCAGCCTGCCAGTCCGAGTCCCCCTGGAGCGTCCGCACGAGGCGCTGGTAGGTGTCTCTCTCCGCCCACCAGGAATGGTACGTGCTCACGTACTTCCTCCCGTTGGCCACCAGCTCCCCTCCTAATGCGGGGTCGCGGATCAGCCTCTGCGCCAGCTGGACAAACTCCTGCAGGGGAAGAAGGGAGAGAAACCGGTGTGGGGGGCTGGCAAAGGGGTTTGCCGAGGCACCCCGAATCCTGTGCCTGCTTCAGCTCCTGGCCCCTCCACGACCTCCTCTCCTTCCTCTGGAGAGAGCGGCCTTTAGGAGGGACAGCTGTTAACGCAGACAGGGCGGTGGTATAAGAGGCCTGACATGATTACACACATGCATGTGTACACCCTCTACTGGGGATCGAGCCCGCCCCCTGGGCATGTGCCCTGACCGGGAATCGAACCCGGACCTCTCAGTCCCCAGCCGCGCCCCATCCACTGGGCCGCGCCGGCCGAGCTGGACTCCGTTTTCAGGTCCACCTCTCTGCCCTGGCTCTCTGCCTGGTTGTGCGCAGTTCTGACCCCTTGATCAGACAGGTATGCACCAGCCTCCCAAACACCGCGTGCGCCCTGGAGGCACCGGCTGGCACAGGGCAGGGAAATACTTGGCTCCAGGTCACACTGCGCAGTGGCAGCAGGACCAGGACAGGCCCCAGGACGCCTGTTTCCCAGAAGCCCCCAGGTTTTCCTAGACGGGCGTCCAGGCTCCCACGCGGTCACCGCGTTGCACGGGGCTGCCCCCATCCCACGGGGACGCCGAGAGCCGATGACAACGTCGTCCGTTAAGGGAAACACCCGAAAACCATCCCCGCGAGCGGAAGCCTGAACGCCGCCCCCTACCTGAGGATCGGAAAACAGCAGCCCCGTGACCCCGTGCCGCACCACGGCCGCGTTGCCCGGGATGTTCCTGGCCAGCACTGGGACGTCCAGGTCCATCGCCTGCAGGTCGGAGAGGGGCGGAGGGTAGTGGTTTTAAGAGCGGCTCCGGCCAGAGCGGCCCCTCTGTGGGCCATGACTTGTGACGTCTCTGGCCTCTCCCAGGGAGCTCAGCTTGACACAGTGACACCCGATCGAAACACTGGATTTTCACGTTCTGGAAACAACACTGTCAACGGACGAAATGACTGCCATGCCACCAAGACACCACCCCGTCCCCATGTTCCCTGGCCGCCTCTTCAGTGGCCCCTGGAGCCCCAGTTTTAGTCACCAGCCCCCCCCCCCCGAGTCACTGTCCCCAGCACCTGCTGTACAGATGCCACGGGGGCGCAATGTGTGTCTTGGGCAAACAGACAAGAACACGAGGGGACTCGGTTTATGCTTCTGCTTATTCACCAAGCGGGCTTCCCATCCGCGGGTCTGGGATCAGCACGCGGCCGCCGGTGGCCCGGCACAACCTGGCATCGGGACCTCGAACAGATGCCTGAGGGCACAGCAGGTGCTGGCCTCACCCGCCCCGCCAGGTGGTGTTTCCTGGCCGGCTCCCTGCCGTGGGGGAGGGGCGGACCCAGGAGCGGTAGGACCGGGCTCTTGCGAGGTCTCCGTCGCCCTCCCACGCAGACGCCCCCGTGGCAGGCGCCTTGCCGTCCGCGGGCAGGCTGGTTGCCATTCCCCATGAACCCATCGTCTGGCTCTGAGTAGCCACCCGTGTGGGGACAATCTGATTCTGCCGGGGATCTACTTTCACGTCATAAAAATCTGGTCGTGAAATGACAGTCGGTTTTCAGAGTGTCAAGGTTCCCAGTCCCAGCTGCTCAGCACATCGCAGGGGTACACTCTGTGACACCCGACTTCCCGATGCGTGCATGCCACCCACGCCCAAGTACCCAGAGCCACCTGCGGCACCCGGTAAGCGTCCCGTGAATACTGGGGAGCGAAGACCCCGGGGCATCTGTACAGCGACGGACTCTACATCGCCGTAGCCCGCACTGGGCTCCCAGGGACACGCTATTTTGCTTTTTACAAGCCTTGAGAGGTGCAGGACCTCGCCGAGCAAGACACCACCTCCATCAGTAAGGACAGAAGGGACGGGCAGCTTCTTAGGGGCACTCTCGGGGCCCCGGGGGGACCCTCACCTCCAGAATGGCCGCGGACATGCCCTCGGAGACGGAGCTGTTCACCAGAGCGAAGCAATTCTTCATGACTGCGTGGAGCTCCCCCTGCCGCATCTCCGGGACCAGCCGCACCCCCGCGGACCTGAAACAGTCGACCCCGAGAAGGCGTTGCTCCCGGGGTGGTTCCCACCGAGTGGCTGCCGCCCACACAGGAGGGGCTGGGAGACGGGAGACAACGATTTTGGAGGAATGCCCTATATCAGAGTGAGTACGCGTGACTGATAAAGGGTTCGACACCAAAAGCAATATTGGGGCGAGACCTCCTCTATTCCACCCGATGAGGGCGGGAGGCGGCCGGCCACCCCATCTGTGGTCCTGAATTCGTGAAACAAACGAGCCGGGTACTTCTCCGACCCCGGACATCAGAGGTAAGTGTTCTGCCATTTTCTCTGTAGGACTTAGAAAATGACCCTTCTCTGACAGTTCAACCCTTTTTCAAATAATCTGTAAAGATACTCAGAGAGACAATAATAGATAAAACAGAGAGAAACAGAAATAGTAACAGACGAGTGGAAGCAACGCACGTGTCCCCACCACCCAGGGCTGATGGTGTTTAGTTGTAGGGTTTGCCTGGTTTTTGTTGTTGTTGTTGTTGCTTTTTATGACAGAGCGGGAGGGAGAGAGAGAGAAACATGGATGTGAGAGAGACCCATCAAGTGGTTGCCACCCACACGACCCCAACTGGGGCCGGGGATGAACTACAACCCAAGTATATGCCCTTAGCGGGAACCGAACTGGGGACTCTCTGGTCCACGGGCTGATGCTCTAACGGCTGAGCCAAACCAGCCAGTGCTGCCTGTTTTTGTTTTTTGTTTTTTTTTCATTCAACAATACTGACTCATCTCTGTGCCCTCCCCTCTCCAGCACCTCGTGACCCTGGCACGTGTCCTTTGCCATAATCGGTTGTGTCGTACGTACGCACATCTGTATCTGTGAGACATACGAAGACCCAGATCGAACACGGGCAAACAGTGGCATTTCCCAGTGCCCTTGCTGATGGGGTGCCCAGGAAGTGGGGTGGAATCCTGGGGTCCATGAGAAAAATCACCTAAAAGGGGACTGACCCAAATGGGGGATGATCCTCTGACCCTTGCCCTCTCCTGTCTCCCCTCTTAAAATTTGGAGTGTGATGAACTGGGTGGAGCTCTGCAGCCACTTTGCCACCTTGAGGCTGGACGGATGGCAGGACAGAGACACAGGAACCCTGAGTCTTATGGGTCCTGGGCCAACCACATCCGATTTTTTACGAAGCAATGAAGTCAGCCCAGGGTCTCTATGCCGGTGGGGGTGGGTCTCTGTTATAGCAGACACACCATCTGTAACAAATACCCCAGCACGTGGTTCTCCGAAAAGGAGGTGGCAGTTCTCACGCTCACCAGCAGAGCGAGAGGGGCGCCCCTTCCCTCCACTCTCCTAAACCCTGGATGCTTTGTCTTTCCCGTTTTTGCCAGCGTCCCGCAGACATCATGCCCTGACGCGGTGTTCACGGGCACGTCCCCGAACCACCGCTGCCCCAGTCGCTCGCCAGGGAACGGCCCACAGTGCCATGCTGTGTGTTTCCTGGCGAGCGCGGGGGCGAGGCGGTGCCCAGGGTCCACAGGACACGGCAGGGTGGAAGGAGGGGTCCCGGGTGAAGCGCTGGGCACAGAGCCCGGAACACAGACATGCTGCACAGACGTGGGACCCAGGACAGTGTCCCGGCCACTGGGTTCCCTCTGCTGCAAAACACCCGCTCCCGTCATTGCTCACCTCTGCACTTTGGCTCTCACTTCCCGCGAAAACTCGGGGTCGACCTGGGAAGAGACAAAGGCAGGCTGTAGGCAACGTCGGAAATGAGCCAACGCTGCAGCACCGCAGGCCACGCCGGCGGGGCCACGCCTGCCGCTTAGAAGGAACACAGAGCTGGTAACAGGGAGGAGCGGGGGCGGGAGAGACGGCCCGAGAGACACACACACTCCCGCTGCCGAGCGTCCGCAGGACCACAGCCTGGGGCAGCCCGGGGCAGCCACCTCCACCAGCTCCCGGCCTGGAAACAGAAGCCTTCCCAGCCCCAGGGCAGTCAGACGGGGCTTCTTGATGGTTTTCCCGGCCCATTACAGGGATGGCTTTTTGTCATGAAACCTCCGGGGCCGAATGAGGTGGACCCGCTGCTGATCCAACACAAAGGATGTGAGAGTAGAGCTTTGTCTGTGACGGGGACCTTCCCAGACATGCAGGTTTCAAGCCAGCGGTGTGTCCACCAGCTGGTGAGTGGAGAGACAAGATGGGTCCTTCCACACGGTGGAATATTACTCGGCCGTGAACAAGGATGGAGCACCGACACCTGCCCCAATGTGGAGGGACCTGGAGAAGGCGACGCTGAGTGAGAGAAGCCAGACACAGGCCACACCCCGTGCGGTTCTGCTTACAGGAAGTGCCCAGAACAGGCAAGCCATGGAGGAGAAAGGCAGATTTGTGGTTGCCAGGGCTGGAGGTGCAGGTTTGTGGTTGCCAGGGCTGGGGGTGCAGGGCTATAGGGCTGCCCGGCTGGTGTGGCTCCGTGGTGGAGTGTCGACCCTGCACCAAGAGGTCACAAGTTCGATTCCCGGTCAGGACACATGCCCAGGTTGTGGGCCTAGTCCCCAGTGAGGGGCACGCAGGAGGCGGCTAGTCGATGTTTTCTCTCTCTCTCTCCCTGTCCCTTTCTCTGTCTAAAATCAATTTAAAAAATTATTTTTAAAAAAGACTACAGAGCTTCTTTTGGGACCGATGAGAGTGTCCCAGGTCAGACGATCGCGAACCTTCGTGAATGTACGAAACACCCACTTTCCAACGGTGCTCTTTGCGGCGTATGAATTATATCTCAACTTTCGTAAACGCCACGACACTGCATTCCCTTCGTGGCAAGACAGCGCTGTCAAGCCTCAACACCCGGTTCCGTTTTTATAAAGCAAGCGGACCTGACTCACGTAAAAAGGACAAAACAGCTTGGTCAGAAGAGTAACGCGCACCAAGTTTAGAAAACACAGAACACACACAGGGAGCAGAGGCGGGGTCAGTGCTGGGGGGTCCCCGACTTACTTCAGGGCCCACGATCACCAGGTACGCGCTGGGCTCTTCCCGGTGCCATTCTGGGGAGAAAAGAGAAAAGAAGAAGAAGAAAAAAAGACATTTAAAAATGGTTCTCAGTCCCAGCTGAAAACATAGGCTTAACATTATTTACACCGAAATATAAGTTATTTCATAGTTCCTTTCATTCACATTAGTCCATTTCAATGGATGTATTTAAAACGTCAGTATTGGCCCTGGCCAATAGATCATCAGCGGTTAGAGCATCGGCCTGCGGTCCGGAGAGACCCGGGTTCGGTTCCCGCTAAGGGCAGGTACCTCGGTTGCAGTTTGTCCCCGGCCCTGGTTGGTCGTGCGGGTGGCAGCCACTCGATGTGTCCCTTCATGTCGATGTTTCTCTCTCTCTCTCTTCCTCTCTCTCCCTCCCACTCTATCTGAACAAAAAATGGAAAAATGTCCTCGGGTGAGGATTAAAAAAATAATAATAATAAAAAATAAAATAAAATAAAACGTCAGTATTGGACGTGTTTTCGCTTCGAGGTGAACACTGTTCCGGAACCTTCCGCAATACCCAGATGTCGGATGTCGCGGGTCCCTAGAAGGAACACGCGGCCGAAACTCAGGAACGTGCGAAGAGGACACAGACTCGCTGAAGCAACAAAGCGGCAAGCGCGCCGCGCAGACGGGCCGCGGAGGGTGTTCTCATGGGGCCACGCTGCCCTCTGGCCACTGGCCGTGGCGGACGCCTTCCCCGGGCGCAGGGAGGCAGACAGCAGCCCGGCAGGTGTGACCGTCTCTCGTTCCCGAAGCAACCGTCCAGAAACAGCTCTGCTGCCGCGGGAGAGCGAGGCGGTGAAACCCGGACCCGCCGGCATGGTGTGGGCGGGCGGCCCCGCAGACGTACCTGAGAACGCGTCCACCAGGTACAGAGGGTCTTTGACAGGTCTGAGGCCGCAGATCAGGAGAAACAGGTGTAGGTTGTCAGCACTCTGGTTGATCCCTGCAAGAGAAGAGTTCGGAGAGGCACCAGAGCTGGGGGCCGGGCCCAGGGACTCGGCAACTGCGACCCCACAGACACGGGGACCTCTCGCCGCCGTCCCCACCCGTCACCTTTGTGTGTTGGTCACCGTGGGAACCCAGTTTCCCAGGTCGACAAACCTGAGCTGAGCCCGGCAGACGCCGGGGAAGCCAGGATGGGCCGTCCCACCTGGCCCCGTCCAGACGCCCACGGAACCCCCAGAAGGGAGAAGGTGGGTGTTGCTGTGTGGCTTCGTTACACAGAGATAGATCATCGAGAGATCGTCCACAGAAACCGTCACCGTAATTAACACAAGTGGAACTAAGCCTTCATCTGCGAACTTGTAGAAATGGACCTAAAATCATGCCGGTGGGTTTTCCCTCATCCTGCCGATCCTCCATCACTTCGTGTGAACGACTCATTTCCCTGGGCTGTCCTGGGTCTTGAACGGGCGTGTGGTGAGTCTGGCCGTGGCCGGATACCTGGGCCCAGGTTAGCCCCTCCAGCTGAATGACAGCGATGCCACACGAGGGCTCGGGACAACCTTCGCGGATTCGTCACGGCTCCGACATCCCTCTCAGAGAAGCCAACAAAGCCGTCGCAACCTCTGAATTAACTGCGGACGCTCCCCTTGAGATGTGTTCTTGAGACGTGTTTTCTATTCCCCATAGTCTGAGTACCCTGGAAGGAATCCGAGGACACAAACTTTCCTGAGTCCCTGTTGGGCCCGAGGTTGACGCCGGAAGTGAGGGGCAGGGTCTGAATGTGGGCTCAGAGGGGGCGAAGTCCAGGGACCAGGAGTCTCTGGAACAGGTAACGAAGCTCTTCTCGTCCCGCAGCCGTTTATTTGGCCGCGTGTCCTCGTAAGGAGAGAAGGCAGGAATTCGGATGAGTGTGTTCAACTCCGGGAACGTCAGCGGGAGCAGCGGACTCCGGGCTGAGGGAGCAGAGAAGCCGGTCACAGCCCCTCTCCTACGGAAGACGGGGTGACTTCCCGGGACTCGCAGAGGAAGAGGGCCTACCGCCCCGCCTCCGCGGAGAAAAACAGACAGACTTTGAAGGGAGACAGAAAATCAGACACTATAGACGCAGAAATAATGAGCCGGGAAACGAAAGGGCGAAAGGTGTGGCCAGATCAAACGGAAGAGTCGCAGCTTTGGGGCTCCATGGCCGGCGGGACCGGGGTGTTAAAGGCCCTGGTCACGGGCAGAGCACGGCCTCAAGGCACTGCCCGGGCACCTGTGCAGGGACGTGGGCACGCCCGGGAAGGGCACCGCCGCGCCGCTCGGCACCCAGCCTCCTCCCTCCACAACCTCGGCGCCCTGTGCCGCCAACGTGCTTCAGGGTTTGGGCCAGGAGACCCAGCCCTGCGTGAGGGCTCAGAGAACCCGCGCCGGCCCGTGAAGGAAAAGGCGCTGTGGAACGGGCACTGATACTTAAGAAGCGAGATGTAGCCCCGGCCGGTGTGGCTCAGCCGTTAGGGCGCCGGCCCGAGGATCAAAGAGTCGCAGGTTTGATTCCGGTCAAGAGCACGCACCTCGGTTGCGGTTCAATCCCGGCCCTGGTCAGGGTTGTGCGGGAGGCAACCAGTCGATGTGTCCCTCTCACGTTGATGGTTCTCTCTCTCTCTCCCCCTCCCACTCTGTCTACAAATAAATGGAAAAATATCCTCGGGTGAGGATTAAAAATAACCAGCAGCAGCAGCCTCAGCGAGCTATAGGGCTCGGCGAGGAACCGGCCACCCGCCGACCTCTGGGGCGCGCCCTGCAGTGACGCCCAGGTCAGCAGATCCTGCGATTTCAGGCGGCGTGTCTGGTCGCTGAGGGTCTGTATCGAACCTGCTTGTATTCTGCAGCCACCGTCTGGAGCTCAGCAGGGAAGAGACGAAAGGCAACCGTCAGCTCTGGAGGCCGGGGAAGCTGGAGGCTGGGTGCCAGGGTGAGCCGTCCATCTCTGGGGCTGGGAACACGACCCAGGCGGACGACCACACGTGAGAGCAGACGCCAGATCGTAAGACCCAGAGAGGCCGAGAATCCAGCACCTCGCCCCCCAAAGCCACCCTCTAACCCACCAGCCCACGGCCACACCCACCTCCCCATGCCTGCGCGGCACACGCAACGATATTTAATCACACGTGTCTGGACCAAGGTGCGGTCAAGCAGGTCTCGGGGAAAACGCCTCCTAAGGAGTCTTTTATTCATTGATTTATTTATCCTCACCCGAGGACATTTTTGCATTTATCTTCAGATAGAGCGGGAGGGAGAGAGAGCAAAACATCCCTGTGAGAGAGGCACATCAACTGGCTGCCACCCACACAACCCAACCAGGGCCGGGGACAAACTGCATCCGAGGTACATGCCCTTAGCGGGAACCGAACCCGGGTCTCTCCGGACCGTGGGCCAACGCTCTAACCACTGAGCCTGACCGGCCAGGGCCTAAGGAGGCTTTTACATCCCCGGGCTGCTCCATGAATCACTCAATGGTAAGACCCGCGGACGACAGCTGTCGACGACAAATCCCCGAGCCTGGGACACTGTGAATCCCAGGCCCACCGCCGCCTGGACTCTGACCGGGAGATGGAGTGACCGTGCAGCCGGCATTACACTGGGCCCACGGGCCGTGAGGGTCGCGCCCGCCACAGTGACGGCCGCCTGGGCTCCTCCGCGGTGCCGAGGACACCTCTGCCTCCTCGGACGGCGCTTGGGGAATTGTTTCTAACGAGATGCTGGCGTGTTGATCTTTTCAAGGGAACCTGGCGCAGACACACGGTGTGGGGCAGAGGCTTGAAGTGTTTGGGGTGCAAACTGGCTTGGGGCGTCCTCACGCTTGCTGGTGGGAGAAGGCGGAGTTTGCATATTCAGTCTCTTCTCTGAAGTTCATGGCAGGACCCCCACCTTGAGCCCCCTCCCCCCAACAGTGTCCCTGCCTCACGTAGCCTCTTGCCTCTGGGGAGCTAACGCTAGCTGTTGGGGGGCCCTTCCCGGCACCGTGGGGTCCGCAGGCCTGTCCAGCGGTTCCGTCCCGAGGAGCACACGGGGCCTCGTCTGTGGACGGCCAACGTTCTGCAGGTCCGACGCGGCACAGCCTCGTTTTGGTTCCAACACCTCGACCACGCCCGGAAATGCCGCGGCAGGACTGTGTTAGTGCCCCTGCGTCAGGGAAAGGGCTCTGCCCTGACACGGGCCACTCCGGGGACGCGCCCTCCCAGGCGGGGGAACCGCCGCTCGGCAACTTCCGGCAAACGCTCATCAAAAAGTCGTGGCAAATCCACAGGCCCGCAACAGGGATGGGGGATGGGCCAAGTCAGCTTGCAGAATCCAAAATGATCCCATAAAGACATTAAACAGCACGACGTCGTCGTGAGAACAAGCTCGCAGAGGACGTCAGTGTACGAACACCCAGTGCGTTTGTGTGCTGGTAAAAGGGGTTCAAGACGAGCTTTAGAAACGTCTGCAGAAGCCCCGCGACGCAACAGTAAACAGGACCAAGATGACGGACGACGCGCAGAGAACCCCTCTGTCCGCAGGGTGTGGAGAAGGAGCCCGGGAACCACTAACAGCGGCTCCTGCGTGCTGCCGCGATGTCGAAAGGGCTCACATTCGTTTGTGCGTCTGACCTCACTTCCCCGTTTCTCTGCCACGGTCCCTTGTCGTGTGTCTGGCTGACACGGCTCCACGGACCGAGCCCGGGAGGCGGGCATCCCAGCCCTCGGTGTCCACGGCGCTGTGTGCGGGGTCGGCCTCCGAAAGGCTCCGCTCCCGCCGCGCCCGCTGGCCCTGCTGAATGCTGACGGCATCGGGGAGAGAAACCCGGCCGGCCCCCTGGATCCCTCCCGCTTCAGTCCCTGTGGCTCCCGTCCCTCGTCCCACCCCGACCAGCGAATCTGTCCGACCTGACAGCCTCTGACGAGGACGCAGCAGGTCACCGAGGCGCGTGGACAGGCCCGCCCGCCCCGGCCCTCCCGCCCCTCACCTGCGCCCTGCAGGAAGGCGTCCCAGCGGAAGGCGGCGTCCGGCGTGGTTGTGATCCCTGGGCCAGAGGAGAGAGGGGAAGGTCACGGGCTGAGCCAAAGCAGCTCTGTGCGCCGACGTTCACGGGGCCACCCTGGTCCTGCTGCAGTCGCTCCGAGGCCTGGGCGCTCCGTGGACGCCCGTCAAGGCCTCTGCACACGAGGTGACGTGAGACCCCGGGCCCGCAACCAGGAAAACCAACCTCCGGCGTCTGGGCCCGACGGCCCCTGGGTCCCAGGAATCACGCGTCCGTAAAAATACCTGCATTAACTGGCTTCTAAAACGCTGGCGACTGAACTTGAAAGGTCCCAGGCAGAAATGACTTCCTCATGTAAAATCCCTAATCTCGTCCTGGCCCGTGTGGCTCAGTGGTCAGAGCACCGGCCCTCACACCGAAGGGTTTTGGGTTTGACACTCGGTCCAGGGCACGTACCTGGGTTGCAGGTGTGATCCCCGGCCCCGGTCAGGGTGCACGTGGGAGGCAACCAATTGATGTGTTTCTCACACCGATGTTTCGCTCTCTCTCCCCCTCCCTTCCACTCTCTAAAAATCAATGGAAAACAAATCCCCAATCTGAGCCTTCCCCCAGCTCACCACCCGGGTCCTTTCCTCAGACAGAGTCGAGTTCAAAACTCTCTGAGAAACCGAACATTTTAAGATACACCAAAATTCAGTGGCAACACTTACCACATTTAAAAAACTTTCTTTCTTCTTTCTATTGATTTTAGAGAGAGAGGAAGGGAGAGGGAAAGAGACAGAAACATCAATGAGCGAGAACATCGACTGGCCGCCTCCTGCATGCCCCCCACTGGGGATCGGGCCCACAACCTGGGCAGGTGCCCTGATCGGGAATCGAACCGGTGACCTCTTGGTGCAGGGTCGACGCTCAGCCACTGAGCCACACCGGCTGGGCAGTTACCAGATGTTTTTGAAGTTTGGTTTTCAATTGCAGTTGACATCCTGTATTATTCTATGATTCTGTATTGGTTCAGGTGTGCAGCATCGTGTTTAGACAATCGCACACTTTAGAAAGTGGTTCCCCGGGTATTTCCAGCACCCGCATGACCCCGTACGTATCAGTACAATCGCACTGACTGTGCTCCCTGTGCTGGACTTGACACCCCTGGCTACTCTGTGACTGCCCATCTGTGCTGCTGGGTCCCTGCACCTCCTCGTCCATCCCCAAGCCCTCCCGTCAGGCCGCCCTCAGACGGTCTCTGATCTGTGAGTCTGTCTCTACTTTGTTTGTTCATTATTTTTTATTTATTTTTTAATCCTCACCTGAGGATATTTTCCCATTTATCTTCAGACAGAGTGGGAGGAAGGGAGGGAGAGAGAGAAACATGGACATGAGAGGGCACATCGATGGGTTGCCTCCCACACAACCCTGACCAGGGCCAGGGCCGAACCGCAACCTGGGTGCACGCCCTTGGTCGGAATCGAACCCACGACTCTTTGGTCCTTGAGCTGACACTCTAACTGCTGAGCCAGACCAGCCCAGCTGCTCCTTTATCTTGTTTGTCAGACTCCACGTGTAATCCAAAGCACAGGGTACGTGCCTTTCTCTGTGGGACGCATTTCCCTCATCAACAGGTGGTCTGAGAGCAGAGAGACTCTGAAAGTTCATGAAACGTGAGCCCCATGGTCCCCAGGGCCCTGCAGACACTACAGCCTGGTGAGCAGGCTGACCCCTGGTTTATCTGCTGGACCCTGAGGTTCGGGGAGCGGACGCCGTGTCCAGTGTGGGCGACAGAGGCTGTGCGCTCACCTGCGTGGTTCACCTGCCAGACCAGTGCCCTCCTGGGCTGTCAATCAGCCCGGCAGAGAGGGCGGGGCCCGCGCCGCTAAGCGCGTCCTTCCCAAGTGGGGCTCTGCGTAAGGGTTCACCTACCACTGACTCCACAGGGGTTCACCTGACCACTGACTCCGCGGCTGTGGCTGTCCCTGCAACCTGAGCGTTTCTATGGTGATCATTGCGCCGGCCGCGAAGGGGGGCAAAGGGGGCCATGTGCACCTTGGTGCTCAGCACCTTGGGACACTCATGGGGCTTGAACGTGTGACCTGGGCCTCAGCACCCGCTGGGACTGACGGTGGAATCAGTTTCCTGTTCTCCTTTGGAACCGCAGGCTCCTCCTCCGCCTCTCTGTGGGGGCCCCCCGGGGGGCCCCACCAGGTCGGCCCAGCCCCCCACCGCACTCACACAGAGAGGCTCCGTTCTCCCCATTTCCAGCACCTCACGGAGTGTATTGTACTTCTGCCTGAAACGTTACGTGGCCTCAGTTTGAACTATTATTTCATCGTTTTCTCCTATTTATCTTATATCTTCATGTTAGAGAAATAAAGTGTATCCATTCTACGAACTGTTTCTAAGTGAATCTCAGCGCCTGTCCCTGAAAGATAAGGATGGGTTTTTGTGGGGTTTTTTCCAAGTATATTTTAAAATTCTTACCTTGACTCTGGACGTAGATTTTACTCTTAGCATGCGGCTTTTGAAAAGAGGGAAAAAAGAAAAGAAAAGTAAATTTGATAGTCCATCACAACTGCTTTTTAAAACTGCAACAGAGGCCATAAAACAGTCCCCTTGGACGACGTTGCAAAGCGTCATCTGCACAGCCGCGCAGACCGTGCCTTCGGGACAGTACTGACGCTGAACTGAGGACATGCCGGTGACAGAGCCCAGTTGTGCGCTGAAGCTGAGGATACACATGTGGGGAAACGTGGTTTAGGGGTACACACCCTTGAATGGAAAGAGTACACACCCTCAACTTTGGAGAAAAAAGAAGGGGGAGAGGAGGGGGAGGAAGAGATGGAGCAAGAGGAAAAGGAGCAGGTACAGGTGGAGAAGGAGGAGATGAAGGAGATGAAAGAGGAGGAGATGGAGGAGGAGGTGATGAAGAAGGTGGAGGAAGAGATGGAGGAGGAGGAGGTGGAGGAGGAGGAGGAGGAGGTGGTGGAAGAGATGGAGCAAGAGGAAAAGGAGCAGGTACAGGTGGAGAGGGAGGAGATGAAAGAGGAGGAGATGGAGGAGGAGGTGATGGAGGAGGTGGAGATGGAGGAGGTGATGGAGGAGGTGGAGATGGAGATGGAGAGAAGGAGATGGAGGAGATGAAGGAGGAGATAGAGGAGAAGGAGATGGAGGAGGAGGTGGAGGAGATGGAGGAAGAGATGGAGGAGGAGGAGGAGATGGAGATGGAAAGAAGGAGATGGAGGATATGGAGGAGGAGATGAAGGAGAAGGAGATGGAGGAGGAGGTGGAGGAGATGGAGGAAGAGATGGAGGAGGAGGAGGAGATGGAGGGGGAGGTGGAGGAGGAGGAGATGGGGGAGATGGAGGAAGAGATGGAGGAGGAGGATGAAAGAGGAGGAGATGGAGGAGGAGGTGATGGAGGAGGTGGAGATGGAGGAGGAGGAGGTGGAGGAGATGGAGGAAGAGGAGGAGGAGGAGGAGGTGGAGGAGATGGAGGAAGAGGAGGAGAAGGTGGAGGAGATGGAGGAAGAGATGGAGGAGGAGGAGATGGAGGAGATGGAGGAGATGGAGGAGGAGGAGATGGAGGAGGAGGTGATGGAGGAGGTGGAGATGGAGATGGAGAGGAGATGGAGGAGATGAAAGAGGAGATGGAGGAGAAGGAGATGGAGGAGGAGGTGGAGGAGATGGAGGAGGAGGTGGAGGAGATGGAGAGAAGGATATGGAGGAGATGAAAGAGGAGATGGAGGAGGAGATGGAGGAGGAGATGGAGGAGGAGGAGATGGAGGAGGAGGAGGTGGAGGAGGAGGTGGAGGAGAAGGAGGAAGAGATGGAGGAGGAGGAGATGGAGGAGATGGAGGAGGAGGAGGAGGAGGAGGAGGAGGAGGAGGAGGTGGAGGAAGAGATGGAGGAGGAGGAGATGGAGGAGATAGAGGAGGAAGTGGAGGAGGAGGAGGAGGAGATGAAGGAGGAGATCAAGGAGATGGAGGAGGAGGTGGAGGAAGAGAAGAGGACACAACATGTAAGGAACCAGAGAACAGCACTGGGGCCTGCCCCCTCCAGGGGTGGAGGGTCTCAAGGACGCTGTGAGGACACCTGGATGCCCCTGTGACATCCAGGGAGGGTGGCACTTGCAGGGTTGACCTAGAAGTTCGCACGGAGACAGAATCGGCCGCCGGCTGCTGCGGCGCTGTGGAACGGCAGAAAACCACCGGAGAGGAGAGGGGTCCAGCTCGCGAGGTCATCCGGTGTGGATGTTTAGAACGAAGCTCGGACGCCGAGGCGGAAGTAGCGGCCGTCGAGAGTCAACACCCTTCAGGGGCTGCTGGGTCCAGTCGCCGCCAACGACCGTCTTTCATAAGTGATCACAAGAGACATTTTGGCAAAACAGTCTGGAAAGGTGCGCCTGTGCGTCATGTGGCCGAAATACTATGGCGAAAGGACCTAACCAGCTAACGAGGGGTGATCACGGAAACCAAATCTCTGGTCTCCCCACCGGATGCGTGCGTGAGGGGTGCGGTGTGGTCCGCCCGCTGCCGCGAACCAGGGCATTGCTTCCGGTCTGAGGGCTTCGACCTTCACCCTCAAGTCAGCTTTATGTTTTGGGGAACAAGCCAAATGGCAAGCAGCCCTGACCGGTGGGGTCCCTGTGACCGCATGTACCCGAGACATTGTCGCCAGGGCTGCCCAGCCTGCCCCGCTGCCCCAGACGCAACACAGTTCCCATCAGGTTGAAAAGCGAAAACTCAGAACAACCATTTTCCTGCTTCAGATTTCACCTTGACACCAGTGACACCCAGGTCTCCCGCTGCAGACCGGAACCTGCCATCCTACCGCTCTGTGTCATCCGCAGTGGCCGGGGGTCTCTTGCACGCTCTGTGTCATCCGCAGTGGCCGGGGGTCTCCCGCACGCTCTGTGTCATCCGCAGTGGCCGGGAGTCTCCCGCACGCTCTGTGTCATCCGCAGGGGCCGGGGGTCTCCCGCACGCTCTGTGCCATCCGCAGGGGCCGGGGGTCTCCCGCACGCTCTGTGCCATCCGCAGTGGCCGGGGGTCTCCCGCACGCTCTGTGCCATCCGCAGTGGCCGGGGGTCTCCCGCACGCTCTGTGTCATCCGCAGTGGCCGGGGGTCTCCCACACGCTCTGTGCCATCCGCAGTGGTTGGGGGTCTCCCGCACGCTCTGTGTCATCCGCAGGGGCCGGGGGTCTCCTGCACACTCTGTGTCATCCGCAGTGGCCGGGGGTCTCTTGCACGCTCTGTGCCATCCGCAGTGGCCGGGGGTCTCTTGCATGCATGCTTCGTTAGTGCCATCGGCCAGTCATTCGGAGAAGGCTGGTTCCCTGGGCAATGCTCAGCATCCTCCGAATGCTGAGACATTTCATTACACAACATCAAAAAAAAAAAAAAATCCCATTTGCTAACGTGACCACCGATCTCGTCAGGAGAGTCTTGGGAGGAAGCCGTGCGCCTCTCCGGAACTCTCTCTCCTGCTCGACGACCCACGTTACCATGGGCAACAAGTACTGCCCGCCACTTTCCTTCCCGCCACTGCTCGGTTCACGGGCTTTTGAGAAGCTGCCTGGCAAACGCCCAAGTCTGTTATCCACAGTTTGCTGGTTATCGTTTAGATAACAACAATCGTGTGGCAGAGGAGCTGGCTCCGGGGCACCCCCCGGGCCGCACGGGCCCTTCCCTGCAGGGGAGGCTGCCTTCCGAGCACAGCGGCCGGCTCTCCGTGCCCCCCGTCTCCACACCCAGAACGTTTCGGAGTGTATTCTAAGGTGAATGCGTGACTAAAGGGAACACTGTCAAGATTCTCGTGCTGTCTTCTGAGTACAGGGGGTGGCGAGGAAGTGGGGGGACCCGTCGTGCCTGGGCATCTTCACGAGTGTCAAAGTGTTGGCAGTTTTTGTCCACGTGGCTTTTTCAGGGGTGGAAAGGCAAAGCCGCTTGAGGGGTGAGACCGAGGAGACCCCTAAAAAGCCCAGGCCCACCCTGAGCGCTCCGTGCGATGTGGACCCTCAGAGGCAGGGAGACCGCCAAGCAGGTAACTCAGCGGCCGGGACGCGTCCTTGGTGCCGAGGGCCACAGGCCACACCGCGTGTGCCCTTGCTGGCCCGGCCGGTCGTCACCTCCACGCGCACAGTCGTCGGGGCCTTGGGACGGGGCCCCGGCCGGTCGTCACCTCCACGCGCACAGTCGTCGGGGCCTGGGGACGGGGCCCCGGCCGGTCGTCACCTCCACGCGCACAGTCGTCGGGGCCTGAGGACGGGGCCCCGGCCGGTCGCTCCGCAGGCCGAGTCTGTCCTGGTCCCAAAGGAGCAGCTTCCAGGGCTCAGCTTTGCAAACTGAAGTTCCGTCAAGCAGGTGTGTGAGCAGTGAGGCTCTGCCCCCCGACCAGTGCGCGGTGTCAGGGGCCTGGGTGCCGCGCAGGGTGATGAGCCAGCAGGTGGGCAGTCGGGTGAGCAGACCAGGACGCTGGGCCAGGTACAAAGGTCACCAGGGCAGAAAGTCCCGGGCACCTAGCACTGGGCAAAGCTGGAGAAACAAGGACCCAGCCCCCCGGGTGACCTCTCTTCCCCTAGCACGTCGCTGGCCACGCGGTTCAGACCCCTGACCTTGCCCCCGGCATGTTGCCAGTCATGCAGGAGAGACCCCTTGGAAGGGGCCAGAGGCCAGCCTGTAAGCATCAAGCCCAGGACGATGAGGCTCTGACCCCATCACATACATCCAGGCCTTGGCCGTGTCTCAGTCCAGGCCCAGAAGAGCAGCAAAGCCAGACAGTCGAGGCCTGACTGACCTCAGGCCATGGCACTGACTGACGGCCCCTCCCTGGAGCCCACCCATCAGCAGAGACCACGGCCCCTGGAGGGCTGAGGACATGCTGCTGGGACCTGAAGACAGAGGACGGGTGCTGCTGTCTATGGAGCACACCTGTGCTTCCCCTCCCCCACCCTTCCCCTCCCCCTCTCCCACCCCTCCCCCTCCCCACCCTTAGGTGTTCTTGCCTCTCTCTCTCCTGAGCTCCAAGGGCCCTTCGTGTGCCCCATAACTTGTTTCCTGGGCTCATTTCTTCCGCGACTCACTTCTACCTCTGTGACTTTCTAAATCAACTTTCTCTTACAGTTTGAGTCCTGGTCCTGAATTCTTTCCTAACCAGAACTCAAGTACGGAGGTTGCTGAACCCAGGTCCGGTCTGACCCGGCTGGTCTAACACCGGGTGCTGTTTTCCCTCCAACAAGGGGGCCAGCCTCAGGGGGTCACAGGCTCACCACAGTCTCCCCACCGGAGAGAAGAGCCTCCCGTGTGGGGGCCTGTCGCCCCCCGGGGACCCGGTGGGAAGGTCGGTGGGCGGCTCATCCGCAGAGAACAAAGCGCCCGACTCCTTGCGGCTCTTCAGGCACCTGCTCCGGCGAGGAGGACACACTTGCCCCGGAGACGTCCCCACGCACAGGACACTGCGGCCATGCGCCCCCACAGCCCGTAAACCACCCCATCTGAGCTCAGAGAAAGAAACTGAACGGGAACAGTCGGCTCCTGAGCTATTCTTGCCCCTCAACAGCCACATAAAAAAAAAAAAAAATCAGTGCTGTTTTAAGAGAAGCAACCCAGCCCTGGCCAGTTTGGCTCAGCGGTTGGAGCGTCGGCCTGCGGTCTGGAGAGACCGGGGTTGGGTTCCCGCTAAGGGCATGTACTTCGGTTGCAGTTTGTCCCCGGCCCTGGTTGGTCGTGTGGGTGGCAGCCACTCGATGTGTCCCTTCACGTCGATGTTTCTCTCTCTCTCTCTCTCTCTTCCTCTCTCTCCCTCCCTCCCACTCTATCTGTACAAAAAAATGGAAAAATATCCTCGGGTGAGGATAAAAAAAAAAAAAAAAGAGAGAGAAGCAACCCAAACGACACCCGCACGTGGGGACCAGAACCCGCGCCGGTGGCTGTAACAGGCGGTGTGGATGGGGACCTCGTCGACTCCCGCCAGGTCGCCTTTCTGCTCCCCAACTCCGCCACGTGCCTCGCACAGCGGACCCGGAGACAGACACGTACCCAGTGCCCCGCACAGCGGACCCGGAGACAGACACGTACCCAGTGTCCCGCACAGCGGAACCCGGAGACAGACACGTACCCAGTGCCCCGCACAGCGGACCCGGAGACAGACACGTACCCAGTGCCGGTGCGCCGCCGCCTTCATGGCCTCCGTGAACGCCACGGCGAATCTGGGGGAGCAGCAGAAAGAAGGGGCAGGGTCAGGGCGGAGGGAGCCGCAAGGTGCGGAGCGTGGTCAGATGCGCAATCCACCGTCCTCACTGGCCGTCCCCCGCCATCACGTCCTCTCTGCTCGCGTCGGGAAATTGGTGCATGCGAGAAATGAACGCGCAATGCTCAAAACTTCCTGTCTCCTGTTGGCCCCGCGCAGGCCCGGGAAGCCCGGGTACGGGCGGGCGCACACGGGGGGACCAGGAATACCCTGAGGTGCTGGCCGGTGAGGACGTGATCAAACCTCGGGCCGGGGCACGTCGGAGGAACAGGTGTGGACTCCAGGCATCTCGTGCTGCGCGGAGACCACCTGAGCACGCAGGTAAATGATCGTCGTGATGGCTCCCACACCCTGAGACAGAATGAACCCCACGCGCCCAGGCTGACGTACATGAGGGAGTCAGTGAGGTCGGACGGACCCGCTTCCTTAGGGTGGAGCCCGACGGGTAAACGTCGGAGTGAGGAAAAGGGGCATCCACCTGAGGCCAACACCGGGGGAATGACAGGGGGAAGGGACCTCACTCTGTCTGGAGGGGCGCCCTTCCCTGCCGTCTCCTCCAAGCCCCCCCCCCCCCCGCAAGACCCAGGGACATAAACACAATGACAATCCCAGGCTTCTTATGGAGACTATGAAACGGCCCCTGGCGTTCTGGGGAGAATCCTGCCGATCAGGACCCACGTCCCCACCCTGACAGGTGGCCTCGCTGTCAGAAACGTCGCCGGAAGCCCAGGTGCTCAAACTCCACGAGAAGTCACCCTCACGCAGCTGGGCGTGACCTGGGGAACAGGACGCTGGCGCAGCTGCCCCAACCACGGTGTCGGTTTCCTGGCCCTGGACCCCCGAGGCTCCTCACCTCCCGCAGGGTCCCAGGGTCCTTGCTCACTCGCGTGGCAGAGCCGAGTTCTCTGATAGGACCCGTCACAGGACCGTTTCCACACATTTTCAACGCTCCCTGTCTAACGCGGGTGTTTGCAGTACAATCACCCGACGCTCGCTGTGTTGTAACACTTACAGGACAAAACCCGAATTCTAACGTGCGTCTGAAGACTGTACTACCTAGGGGAAACGTTTAAAGTACAAAAAATGCCTTCTGAAATATTCCTTCTAGGGAAAATGTGACTCTTTACGAGCATCGGATTAAAAGACGAGACACTCGTTACAAAGCCAGAGAAGGTCAACGCCGCGTCGGACAGAAAAGCGTGTCGCGGTGTCCTGTCCGACGAGAGAGGGGGGGTCCCCGCACCGTCCTGCCCGCTGGACCCAGTCAATGCCCCACACAGGGCAGGGGGGTGTTTGAATACGATGCAGTGAAGGATGCTAATGGCAATGATAGCAGACGAATTCGCTCAATACTGTTTCTCCCAAGCAGAACGAATTCCTTCTGTGAGGCAGCACATTACACGGTGCCTGGACCCAAAGGTCACACCTTCTGAGAATGTAAGAACATAAAGAAAACCTGTGACAAAGGTCACTTTCAAGGTGAGCCCACCGGTGGTGTGAACACCTTTGTTGATTCTCTCTCTCTCACACACACACAGAGTGTACTTTCTCTTTTAAAACGGTTGTATCGCCCGGCCGGTGTGGCTCAGTGGTTGAGCATCGACCCTGCACCAAGAGGCCGCCGGTTCAATTCCCGGTCAAGGCACATGCCCAGGTTGTGGGCCCGATCCCCAGTGGGGAGCATGCAGGAAGCGGCCAATCGATGTTCTCTCTCATCAAGATTCTATCTCTCTCCCTCTCCCTTCCTCTCTCTAAAATCAATAAAGAAGAAAAAAAATTTTTAAAAGGTTGTGTCAATGTGTGTCCAGGGCAGTAACCACTCCCACCCTGGGGGGCTAGAAACGTGCACAGGTGTTTTCAATTCCCAGAGCCCCGGACAGGCGGCGTCCAGGGTCCGGGATGTGCGGACCGCACCCCAGTGAATAACCACCGTGACCCCGCTGGGGGATCCAGTGTGTGGCCCCTCGCACGCACCGTCTCTACAGCGTTCAGCCACCTGCAGAGATAAGAACCGGGTCTGACACCCTGCGCTCGGGCGCACCTGACTCCGCGTCGATCCCCGTCCGGGTGCCAGTCGAGGTGGAGTCGATTTGTCGTCGTGTCTCAGTCACAGCTCCGTAGGTCCCGAGAATGTCCGTGCAGTACTGACTGTGCCCCGGGAATTATTCAACTGCAAGGACTATTCATGCCCCAAATTGTTTTTTTCTTTTTTAAATATGCCGAATGAAAGAAAGAGGTTGGCTTTCCATGGAAAGATGAAACCTCCCAGACCATTGTTTCCCTTGGGCCGTGTTGCCGCCCAAAAGTGTTACTGTTGAGCGCCCGGAGTGCCCTCAAGAAGTACCTGGCTTCCTCGAGGACCTTCCCCATCACTTGGTTTTTCTCTCCCTGGTGCACGTCTTCGTTTAAGTCAGTTCCACCGAAGACAACTCCAAAGGGGATGCCATGACCTGCCGAACGCGGACAGTTAACGACGGAGGCGGAGCGCAGCCCCAGAAACAGCCCTCGCCAACCCGTCCCCCCGCAGCGACCCTGGAGACCGCGGCTCCCAGACCACAAGCTGTTGCCGGTTTCGTTTCGTCCAGCTGCCCTGGATGACGGGACAGGGGTGACTTGGCTGAGCAGGAGCCGGGAGTACTCGGGGGAGGCCGTGGCCACGTGGTCAGGCCGCTGGAGATCAAGTGGCTTTATCTTTAAATACACGAGAAATACTGCTCCCGCCGTCTAGCAAGCCCAGCTGATCATCCCTCGGAAACAGGTCAGTCTGGGACTCTCAGGGTTTAGGACAGAAAAACAGAGCTTGGACGGAATTCTCCTGTGGCTCGTAGTAACAGACACCACACACCCACGCAGGCCACGTGAAGTGGGGGCTTGACAGGAGACTCCGGCAAGGACTCCGAAGGTCAGCTAACGATGTCGAAGCAGACGATGGCATCAGACAGACCAGATGCAACCTGAGTCCCCCCGGGGTCCCTCCAGCGAGCGGCATCGACAGACATTCAGCGTTTAAGTGAAAAGAGACCGAGCTCCCCTTTTATTGGCCTTTGAGTTGTTTTTGTCACTCTGAAAATGAGCAGATTCTATCTTTTTCTCTCTGGGGAGGTGGCTCTCACCCTGCAATTTCACTGCTAAGAACCCAGTGTCCAGATCTGCGCACACTAACGGGCAGGAAGGGCAAGGCTGCTGGACACCGCAGAGGCCGGGACCCAGCTGAGATGTTAGAGAGGCGTGGGCGTGTGTGTGCGTGTGCATGTGTGTGTGCGGTGTATGTGTGCATGTGTGGTGTGTGTGTGTGCATGTGGTGTGTATGTGTGCGTGCGTGTGTGCGCGCGGTGCATGTGCGGTGTATGTGTGTGCATATGGTGTGTATGTGTGTGTGCGTGTGCATGTGTGTGCGGTGTATGTGTGGTGTGTATGTGGGTGCATGCAGTGTATGTGTGGTGTGTTCATGTGTGTGCAATGTATGTGTGTGCAAGTGTATGTGTGTGCGTGTGTGGTGTGCATGTGTGTGCGGTGTATGTGTGTGCAGTGTATGTGTGTGTGTGGTGTATGTGTGTGCGTGTGTGTGGTGTATGTGTGGTGTGTATGTGGGTGCATGCGGTGTATGTGTGCATGTGTAGTGTGCGCGCGGGTGGTGTGCATGTGTGGTGTGTGTGCGTGTGTGTGCAGTGTGTGTGTGTGTGGTGTGTGTGTGTGTGCACACACATATTAATACTCAAAGACTGACAGATCTACTGTGAAGTGAAAAATCAAGTGCCTGTTGGTCAACATAGTACATGTGTGCAAACAGGACAAATATACATTTCTAGATACACACAAACACACATGCACATGCACAAACATATGCATACACATGTACACACATGCACACACACACACACACACACACTGGCTGTCGGTGTCTCTAGAGAAGGGACGTGGAGGACCACAGATCTGGCACGAGGAAGACATTTAGTTTTTCCTCCACAACGTGTCGGACGTTCACACCCTCCCTGTGGACGTGCAGGACTTTCCGGCAGCTTTGCAGACGCAGAGGACACCCAGCCCAGGTGCCCACACCCTGCCGTGGGGGCAGGCTGCAAGGTGCTGCGATGGGGTGAAGGACGCCGGCATGTGGGACACACATGGATCCTGGGGACTCGAGGGGTGTCTGTGGAGGTAGGGTCAGGGCCCCGAGGACGTCCCTGTCCTATCCCTGGAAGCCCAGAGCGTGCTGCCCCGGACAGTAAGGCAGGTTGAGCTGAGGTCAGCTGACCCTGACGTGGGGGGACATTAACCAAGAGCTCACGTCTGCTCAGCTGCAGTACACGCTCCACAGCTCTGTGTCAGCTGGGTTTGCAAGTCACTTCTGGGCCACTCATGGTCAGTGTCATGTGTCACCCTGCTGGGTGAGGGGATGCCCAGAGAGCTGGTAACATCACGTCTGGTGCCTCTGTGAGGTGTCTCGGGGGAGATGCGTCTGCATCGGATGACTGAGTGCAGAAAGGCGCCGTCCCTGGGCAGGCGCAAAGCCCTCGGAGGGCCGGGCAGGACAGCGTGCGGGAGGAAGGGCCGACTCAGTCTCCACTCTGCAGGGTGCCACCTCCTCTGCCCTCGGACAGGACTGTAGGTTCCCACTCTCGGCCTTTGGACTCGGACCCAATGAGTCTGCCAGCTCCTGAGTCTCGAGCTGGCAGAGGGCTGGCCGCGGACCCTGTGGTCGCACACCACGTGACCTTGTAACGCACCTTTACTATCCAAACACATGCTCTTGCTCCCCCGGACAACCCTATGCCCCCGTGGACGAGACGGCCCAAGGCTCACAGGCTGCCACCCCCCGGACACGGGTCAGTCTGCAGCTAACCCGGCGACCGGACTCGAGTGCTGTTTATCCGGTCGCTTCCCCTACGTCCAGTCCGTGCGTTGAACCTGCCCTAGCGTCCGAGGCCCCTCGTCGGAACGAGCGGAACGAAGTCTCTCATATAGGTGCCCACTCTATGGTGTGTGCGAGTCCTACTTTCACTCCTGAAAATGACGCTGAGTTAGGGAACATCCACCCAGAACACGCGGGGTACACTCTGCGTGCCGTAAAGACGGCGTCCGGAGGAGCCCAGCCTCCTGAGCACCGTCAGAGCGTTCTAGAACCGGACCGGGGAGGAGAAGGCACCGCGGAGAGGTGACCGGCTCCTTCCTCCGGGAACTGGAGACGTGGGAGGAGCCGTTCCGTCCACGTCTTCCCGGACGGGGGAGCCCCTGGATGCAGGGCCCGCCTGCAGAGGGGAAGGGGTTACCTCGCAGGAGCCGGCCCCCCCGGTACAGGTGGAGAGCCAAGGCCGCCTCCAAGCCCTCCGCCTGGATGAGGGCCGCGACGGCCGCCGGGCTGTCAAAGTCGAAGGCGTCTCTCAGAAGGCACACGTGACCCGCCGCTTCGAGGTGGTCCCTTTATCAAGACAGACAGACAGACAGTGAGAGAGAGAGGTGGGCAGGAGCATGACCACACCACAGGCTGCCGACTGCGATTTCAAAACAAAAGATGGTTGAAACCGAACAGCTGACGGTGTGTGTTTTCTGGGGTGTCCACCTGAGGCACAGGACGAGGCTCCCGGTCAAGGACAGCAGCCGTCCTCCCACTGGCCTCAGACACCGGGGGCTGTGGCCGGGCGGAGGGCAGCGGGGGAAGGGCTGCTGCAGGAAGTGTCGGCAGCCTCCGGGGACCAGGGACACGGCCATTTCCCAGTGACACTCAGGTCACCAAAAGGCTCCTTCCTTACGGCCTCGATCCGACCTTTTCTCCTGACCCTCCATTGGGGGTCAAACAGCCAGACTGTGTTCGGGTGTCTGCAACTCACTTCCCAGTAAGGCCCTGTGGGGGTCTGACACAGGAAACGGGGGCCCGACGTTCCCGATGGCCGTCCCACCCGGGGACCGGCAACAACTCGGGGACCGGCGACAACTTGGTCCACAGCCCGGCGGGAAATCGGTGGTGTGCTTGCTATCTCGTTGGGGGGGGGGGGTTGAACAATAAAACATTGTCCCCTGGACAACATTTCAAGAATGTTTGACACATTAAAGAAGTAACACGGGTCTCAGAATCCAAAGAGGGGGTCCCTGTGTGAACTCCGCACGAACCCTGGCCTGAGTCTGGATGGGTGAACTGGAGAGACCCCGGCCCCTCGGACCCTCGGACCCTCTGGGGTTAAGGGAGACCCTGACAACACAAGGGGCACTATCTCTGTGCATGTATTTCTATCTACTTTAAAAATGCGATTCTAGGGGGACCCCTGCACAAGAGGAGACTGCTACGAAATCCCTCTTTTTCACAGAAGGAGGAAGGACCAGGGACGGAACAGGCAGAGACCCGATCAGGATGGGTCTCGAACTCGAGTGCTGGCTGAGCTCAGACTAATGAAGTTGGTGAACTGGGAGGGGGAGGGGAAACCCAGAGACACGGGGAGCCCGGCGCCAGCCAAGGGAAAGGTCCCCCCTGCGGGGGCTCGTCCCTCGCTGTCTAACAAGGTGAATGATGCCAACCGAGCACCTGAAATGCAACCAGTCTGAACAGACTTGTACACATACCACTAAGCAATGATTTTTTTAAAATCCTCACCCTTAGGATATTTTTCTATTCATCTTCAGATAGAATGGCAGAGATGGAGGGAGAGGAAAAGAAACATCGATGTGAAAGAGACACATCGACTGGTTGCCTCCCGCAGGACCCTGACCAGGGCCGGGGATGAACCGAAACCGAGGCGCATCCTCTTGACCGGAATCGAACCTGCAACTCATTGGTCCACGGGCCGACGCTCTAACTGCTGAGCCACACCGGCCAGGGCGACACAATAATGATTTTTATAGTAGATCTAGGGGACGGGTTATATAGGGGAAATCATGAGTCATGGGGACTCAGGGAATTGGGTCACGGGCTTTGCTGATCGGCTGGGCTGGGGCTGGAAGTCACTGCTCCCCACATTGGGTCCTGACGTCGGCCAGGGCGGTTGCTCTGTCTGGTTTCATGAGGGTGGGGCCACACCACCTTCATGGGTCTGGGGCTGAAACATGACCGAGGTCAACACGGTGTCTCCAGTTAGACAGAAACCGTTCCCTTGATCCACAGACTTGGGGCTTTGTTCTCCGCGACAGCGTGACGCTGACCAGACCCGGCCGGTCCCGAGGGCTCACTCATTACAGAGCGAGCGGAACGTGGCCACGTGGGGAGCCCGTGGGGTGAGGCGTGAGTCACGGAGCTGTCAGGAGGCACAGAGACAGCTCGGGTTAGGGGAAGAGTCACAACAGGGACAAGCGGATTCTGTTCGGTTCAGCTCCTTCAGGCCGACGACGCCGGTCATTCCCGTAGCCCTTCGACAGTTCTGCCGTCTGCCCTTCCCCTTCACTTTACTGAAAAGAATCCGCACGGCTGTCACCATGACATCCTTCCCCGCGTCCCCTTCCTAATCCCCGAGGGTCCCCGTCACTGCCCTGAGGCAACACAGCCGCTTCAGACCCGGGAGTGTTCCGGCGGCTCCTGCATCAGAGCAGCCCACTGTCCACTCGCCCCCACCTCCCCCCGGTGCAGCCCCTTCCAAGTGTCCACCCCGCACTGCCTTGCTGGGCCTGCACTGGGACCCGTGCCTGACAAGGAACAGCTTAGCCAGGATGGGACCTGGACCCCAGAACGAGCCGCAGACTGACTCCTGCCCCCACCGTCTCGGCCTCAAGCTCAAGCCTGCCCACCTCCAGACTTCACGTTTTTCCTTCACTGACTTTAGAGAGAGAGGAAGGGAGAGGGAGAGAGAGATGGAAACATCGATGAGAGACAACATCGGTTGGCCGCCTCCTGCATGCCCCCCACTGGGGGTCGGGCCCACAACCTGGGCATGTGCCCTGACCGGGAATCAGACCAGTGACCTCTTGGGGAATAGGTCGACGCTCAACCTCTGAGCCACAGCGGCCCAGCACCTCGACTTTTCGCAGCATAAGCCGCTCAATTCCCCCCACTGCCCAGCTCGGTCTGCGTTGAGTTTTCAGTTACGGCGAGAATCTCTGACACCACAATACACTAGGCCTTAGTGTTCGCGGCTGGTTTATGGACAGTTTGCCCGGACGTCAGTCCAGCTCTCTGTGAGCTGTCACGACTCTGCCGCCGGTGCCTTCCCCACGCGGCTCCGTTACTTCCAGGTAATCTGTGTGACCGGACGCTCACGCTCGTCTCCCGTGGGGACAGATGCTGGAACCTTCTTCAGGGACTCGGGGGGCGGGCGGGGCTCTACCCCGGCTCCCGGGCAGCCCTGCGTCCACTGGAGATGCCTGATTGTAAATATTTGCTGAACGAAAACATGCAGTTACTCACCTCCAACAACCAATACTTGGGTGGGGTGAACTAGCCTCTTCCCATCCACGTCATGTACATCCATTATCCCAGAGTCTTCTAAAGAAAACGCTGGAGAACTTTTATTTTTTCCTTTTTTCTTCCCAAATGTTGGCAGTCCCAGAATGACAGGACCAGCACAGTGAGGAGGGGACAGAGGCGGCGCCTCGGGCAGACCAGCTCCGACTTGGCTCCCGCCCCCCCCCCCCCTTCGTTTGCACAGGGCTTCTGTTTGCTACTGTTATCGCAAGAGTTTCCACTCCAATAAAAACACCGTCATACACCCTGTCCTGGCTGCACACCCTGTCCCGGCGGCAGCCACCGCCCACGGCGCCGAATCCGGACCTCAGGGACGTGGCGTCTGAGTTCATCCTGATGCCAACTGGCATATCTGTGGGTTGAACGGCCCCCAGACCTCCCCCCGCGGACCCGGGGAGCCTAAACCCCTTCCCCTCCGCTCAGCACCCGCCCTGTGCCAGAGGAACTCTGCAGACGGGAGTCTAGGACCCCAGGGCTCCGGAGGCAGCCGGCCGTTTGGGTTAGAAGAGGGGCCGGAGGGGACAACACCTCTCTGGCAATGGGCAGAGAGTAAGTTCCTCCGGGTGTGTGGACAGAGGTCCCGTCTTACTCGGCTCCGCCGGGGCAAAGGGGAGGCAGGTGCGCCCACCGCCCACTGGCCCGCTTCCTCTGCACGGAGTCCATCTTTCATCGCAGGCACGTGTCAGTCAATGACTACAACTCTGCGGCACACCGAAAACTACATTTTTTGCCGATCTGACCCCAAAAATGGGTATAATTTTGATTCAGTCCCACGGGACAGCTGGTGTTGTGTTGGCTGCTGTCGCTGTCCCTTGGACTACACGGGTAGGGCACACTTTCAGGATCCTGGCGGAGCAGGGCTCCCCGCCTGTGGACCCTCGGGCAGGCCAGCCTGCAGCTGGAAGTCTTTCAAGGTCTCTGAGGTCTCGTCCTGCTGCAGCACAGCAGAGGCACCGTTTGAACCAGGGGCACCCCCTTCCCCTGGTCGCTGGAGCAACTGTGTGACTATGTTTTACATCCATGACCTGGACTTTGTTTTCCTGCTTTCTGACCTTATTTTGTAACTCAGCAGAGCCGCGTGTAACCAGGACCTGTGCTCTAACCGGAGCTGAGCGGAACCGGCTCTCCTGGGTCGCTGAGGATGGCCAGGACTGTGAGGTTCCTCTAGAAATGTGTGCAGCCTCGGGGGTTGGGGGAGCACACCCCCGGGGATGCACCTCACTCTGGCCCGAGATCTGCAACCTGCTCCTCCAAGTGGTGAGCAGAGAGCACCGGGACTTGTCACCGCCCCTCCCCCCAGGCACACGGGCTCAGCTGCACACCCTCTCTCTGTGACCTCATTTCTAGTACTGGGGTCCCCCAAATCACTATATTCTGTCACCCCAGATCTCTGAGTGGATGCCACCAGCACTATGTGACATGGCTCCTTTATCCTGGTCGCCCCTGAAATGCAACCCCCCCACTGGAATCGGCTCCCGGAGAGTGGAGAGCTCATTTGTCCCTGCCAGACACCCCAGGTGAGGATGGCGCCCTTGAATCAGACCAACGGTGGCCCCCCCACAGTGAACACCCTCCCTGTGAAATCCGTTGGTCCTTCTCATCCAGGACCTGCAGGAGCAGGACCGCTCCGGGCCGAGGGGCACCAAGGGGCGGGGTGGCCCGATCGCTCATTTCAACCACGAGGAAGCAGAACCACCGCAGGAAAATTGAGAAATTTCACGGAGCAGGTCGGTGTGTGGAAAGAAAAAAAAAAAAAAAAAAAGAGCTTGCATTCAGCTCAGGCTGTGGGGAGCTCCCTCCGGCCCTGGGGGCGGACACACAACCCGGGCCCTTGCAGAAGAGAAATTTAAGTGTTAAGGGATAACAGGCCAGCTGACCACCGCTGCTCACCTGAAACTCATATAAAATTGAACGTCCACTGTTAATTGACATTTTTAAAAAAATTTTAAACTAAAATTAAAACAAGAAACAAAAGGTAACCAGCCAGGAAGGCGGATGGAGACGGGCTGTGCGCGAGGGGGAGGGGCGCTCCGGCCGCCGGTCCCAGGACACCGCGGGGAACAGGCTTCAAGGGCGAGGGAGGGCATGCGTGCTCGCTGACACCCCACCCCCAGCTCCAGGGGTCCCTCGGTCACGCTCCGGAGTCTGCGCAGACGCCGCTCCAGCCAGGAGGCCTCCCCAGCATCGGCCGAAATGGCACCTGCGCACGCGCACCCCTCGCCCCGGTTACATCACACATGTCACCGGGTCCACGTGTGTTCGCTCTGCCCTCCGGCCCCCACGGGGAGGTAAGCATCACACAGACCCGCCTTGGTTTTCGTCCGCTGTATCCCCAAAGGGACGCAATACACCGAAAGCCTCGGGCAGGACACTCCCGCGGTCAGCGTGGGGCGCACGGGCAGCCTCTGCGAGGGGCCCCGCCGCGCGCCCAGGGCGAGTCCCCGCGGGGTCCCCGCTGCAGCCCGAGGGGCCCGGGGGGCGTAGGTGGGGCCGGGAACCTGGGCTGCGTCCCGCGCTCCTCCGGCCCCCGCGCCCCCGCAGGCCCCGCCGCCGGCCGTTTGCGCGCGCGGATGGCGGAGGCCGCGCCGAGAGCCCCGAGCCCGCCGCCGCCCCGGCCCGGCCGCCGCACCTACCGGACCCGCTGCGCCGTGACCGCGTTGCCCGTGTGCGGCCGCAGCACCGCCAGGAACAGGAGCCGCATGCCGCCGCCGCCCGGCCACCCACCGCCCCGCCGCGACCGGGCCGGGGGCGGGGACGGGACGCGGACCCGGGCGGAGACGGCGGGGCTCGGTTAGTCCCGCCCGCAGCTCCTGAGGCCGCGCCCGCGCTCGCCGGTTTCTGCGCCGGGGATGGGGGGGGGGGGGCAGGCGCGCGGGCCCGCGAGGGGGCGTCTGCTGGAGGATGGGGTCCGGGGCGCGGGATAGACCGAGGGAATCGGAAAGGACCGTGGGAGGTCCCGTGGGGTCCTAGGCCGCCAGGTGTGCCTGTGGCTCTGCTCCCAGGGGGACGAGCACCCCGGTGGGTTCCGGTCCCTCCCACCAACCCGGGGCCACAGGTCCGCCGCGCGCGCGCGCGTGCACATGGGGACCGGGGCTGGTTGTGGGTCCCCCCAACGCAGACACACAGTGACCAGGGCTGGTTGTAGCCCCCCCCCCAGACACACGGAGACCGGGGCTGGTTGTGGGGCCCCCCCAACACACACACAGGGACCAGGGCTGGTTGTGGGCCCCCCCCCCAGAGAGAGACCAGGGGTGGTTGTGGTTGTCCCATGGGGCCCAGGATAGGTGGTCCCCACCTCAGTGGCTCAGTACCAGGGACCAGGTGGCCTGTGTCCACTCCCAAGGCCCCGGCCGCAGGAGTTCCTGGTAGCTCTTGGACAGCAGAGCTCTGGCCACATGAAGCCGTCATTCTAGAAGTGGCCCAGCACTAAGGAGCCCGCCCCTTTTGACGTGTGAAAATACAGAGTCCCATTGAAACGACCAGGTTGAGCGAACACAGGCAGCAGCAGACCGGAGGTTGGGAGCGCCGCCCATGGGCAGCAGCAGACCAGGAGCTGCCCGACGCCTGGGCACAGAAGGGCAGAGGCAGAGGACGGACTGTCCTGCCGGCTGCCCAAAGCCTGGTTGGTGCAGACGCTGCAGCTTATTCCTGGCTCCACAGTCGGGGACCAAGGCTCACTCCCTCTGCCCAGCTCCCTCCTCTGGGCCTGCTCTCAAGGTGGCCTCTCCTGGCAGCCCAGCTGCTGGAGCCCCGCCCCCAGGCCACACTCCAGGCCACAGCAAGGACGTTCCCCCAAACAGTGCATCTCATTTTCTGGGCTCCTCCTGGAATGTCACAGGGCCCCAGGCCTTTGTCTTATTGGCCACATGGCCACCTCCACCCTCCGAGGCAGCTGGGAAATGCAGTCCCTTACCTGGGCACACTGCCACCTGAATGAAATCATGGTTACTAACAGATGACAAGTTCCAGAAACGACGATGTAGACATATCTTTTTTGGGGGCCCCCATTCAACCCACTAAAGAGGCTCATTTCAAAGATGGCTGCAGGGCAGGTGGGGCTCAGTGGTAGGACGTCGGTCCCTGCATCGAGAGGTCACAGGTTTGATTCCCCGTCAGGGCACAGGCCCGGGTTGCAGGCTCCATCCCCAGTGGGGGGGGGGGGGCGTGCAGGAGCAGCGGATGGATGTTTCTCTCGTTGATGTTTCTCTCTCTCTCTCTGCCTCTCTCTAAAATCAATAAAAACATTTAAAAAAATTGTTTAAAGATGGTTGTCTATATAAAGTCCCCATCACCCCATCTGGGACTGCCCCCCGCCTCTCCTACTCCCATGGTCTGCCCCTTCTCCTGGACCGACCCCATCCTGCTCTGTAACCACAGAGCACTTGGCTCTCCCCCTCAACCGGGTGGTGAGCTCACTCAAGACTCTGCTTGCCGGGGGCGAAGTCCCGAGAAAGGGAGGCACTGAATCAGTGCTGAGTTCAAATCTCCACACGTGTACCGTTGGGAGGTGCTATTCCTACGAGACGCGATCCTGCTGTTCCGCGGGAGTCAGCGCCAGAGCAGGGCTTGCTGGGCCGAAGTCCGCGGTTCAGTTTTTCTGGAATACAGCTGTGCCCGAAGGTGACAGACGTGTCCTCTGGGCCCGTTCCTTCATCCCCTCACTGCTTCTGTTCACCCACTTGTAAAACGAGAAAAACTGTAAACGGGATCGTAGTTAATTAGCTCGTCTCGATAAGGCCCTTTATGGTCCTCCCAAGCAGGTAGCATAAAAGGGTACAAAGACAAATGTGTTTTTCTGGAATAGCATGGAGATAAGGTTGTAGGCATCTGAGGTTTCCCAGATGTGTCTGGCATAAGGGTCATAAAATACATGTGAAGCAAAACCTGTCCTGTGATCAGGGTCTGCTCAGACGATTTCACTAGTTCCCGGCACCAGGGACAACGAGCCTTTATGATCTCCCCCGAGTGACAACGAGCGCGTGCTCCCGGCAGTGCTGGGGGACACCCACGAGACAAGGGGCTCTGCCACCCGGACCAGCCCGGCGCGCTGGCCGCCGCACCTCTGTCCCCCAGGGGCCGTCCTTGGTTTCTGTCAGAGGTTTGATCTTTAACCACCATCCCTGCCTGCAGTGTGAGAACTACACGTGTGTGTGTGTGTGTGTGTGTGTGTGGTGGGGGGCACTCTCTCTGCTCATAGAAAAGGAGGTTCACCCTGGCCGGTGTGGCTCAGCGGTTAGAGCATCGGCCCGCGGACCAGAGAGTCCCAGGTTCGGTTCCCGCTAAGGGCACGTACCTCGGTTGCAGTTTGTCCCCGGCCCCGGTTGGGGTCATGTGGGTGGCAACCAGTCGATATGTCCCTTTCACATCGATGTTTCTCTCTCTTTCTTCTTCTCTCCCTCCTGTTCTATCTGATGATAAATGCAAAAATATAAACAAACAAACAAACGTTTCTTTCTTTGAAAAAAGAAAGAAAAGGAGGCTCATAGAGACCTGCGGTTTCAGGGTCCCGGGTATGCTTCCTTTCCTGGCTTTCACCGACAGCACTTGAAAGGGACCAGACGCGAGGAGGGGAAGAGCTGTTGGTCCGGGACTAACTGAGACTAACTAGTTCCTTCTCACGTTGCTTAATGAGCATGAGGAAGTTCCCGGGACTAGACGACCTCTGAGCCTCTGATGCCCCCGCTGTCGGCACGGCTGGGCGACCGGGGAGCCCTCCAGCACAGGGACGCGCCTCCGAAGAGCGTGGGCCCGAGCGGACGGGGGTCTGTTATGAGTGGTGCGGCCGCGAGGCTTCGTCTGCAGACAGGTCTGAGTCTGAGCGCGTGGAGGGCTCCTGGGGCGAGGATGTCGTAACGGCTTCCTGGAACAGCCCGTCCTGAACAGAAGCCCGTGCTGCTGCTTGTGCGTCGTTAATTTGCTTTTGTTACATGGCCCGCGTATGTTTAACACATACAGGTGCATAACACGGACTCCAAGAACCGCACGGGGTCCCACTGCCCTGAGATACGCATCATGAAGACGCTGGTTTCAGGTTTTCCCAGACTGTGCAAACAGGCGTGTTTAGGGGGTGCCCGGCGTGTGCCCGGCGTGTCCTGCAGTGCTGGGCAGTGCCCACGATCGATGCCCGTCCTTGCTGGGTGCTCTCACCACCGCGCAGGTGAAGGACGGAGGCTCGAGATGGTGTGGACTCTACCGAGAGTCTCTGACTCTGCGACGTGGACGATGTTTTGCTGTTGTTGATTTTTACTCCTTTTTGGTTTGTCATTGTTGTTATGAAAATAGGAACACTCTATACTTATTTTTGCCTCTGTGACTGGCTTTTTTTTTTTACTTCAAAATTGTGGTGGGCTAAATTCTAACCTGGCCCCCACGGTGTCCTGCCTCCTGGGTGACGCGTTGTCTGTCAGTCAGTCAGACGCGCCGGCCGCTGCTGGGAGGGGATCTGCAATGTGGTGACATTCCCAAGTGAGCTGCCAGTAGGCAGGGAGACTGTGCAGGGCGCATCTCACCCAACAAAACGGTCCCTTTGAAGGGACTGAGCATTTCCCGATGCTGGAGAGTCAGCTCACGATCGGGCTTTGATGTCTGCTGATTCCCTGCTGCTGGCTTTGGGGTGACGGGGTACGTGGCGAGGGACACTGGCAGGATCCAGCGGCTGAGAGCAGCCCCCCAGCTGACAGCCAGCAGGTAGCGGGCACCTCAAACTCCCACCTTAAGAAAACCAGACTCCCCCCAACCACAGGGGCCGGAAGGAACCCCGGTGGGATCTCAGCTCTGTGAGACCCGAGCTGAGAACTGGGTCGCCCAGGCCCCCTGCGGACCTACAGACCTGTGAGCTGCTGTATAGGTGTGGCGCAGCTGGGGCTGTGGTGATTTGTTGCACGGCAATAGGAACTAATGGAGTAATCTATCACCATGCTTTCCCGCCCCAGCGCCCTGCTCCTGCAGTACTGTGAGCAGCTACATAGTGTCCCCGTGAACTTGCCGCCCTGCACGTGCACGCTTGCTCTTTCCAGTCTTCGCGCTGCTGTGAGCAACATCGTCACGAGCGTTCCGCAGCCATCTCGGTGCGCGTCCTGAGGTTCCCGAAGTGGAAACGCAGCAACCGTAGGCCAGTGTGGTTGGAGACCAATGACTGACTGTCTGGAAACACCAGCTGGACAGCGTCCTTGTCACTGGCCACGTCCTTCTGAGCGCTCGCCCCCCAGAACGCGGTCGGCGCTGGGGTGTGGGGGGCCTGAACTGCGTTTTCAGGAGGGGCACCTCTCCTTTCTTCTGTGTGTGCACGCGCGGGCACGTACGTACCGATGCACAAGCTGGCCCTTTTCCAGCGCGTGCCAGAGTCCCACGTGCCAAATCAGAAGGAGAATTTGTGGGCTCACAAATGACAGATCCAGGAGTAAAAGCCGTGGTCCCATCCAAGACCTAGGAGATGTCCTTCCACAATCAGGTCTCTCTCTTCGCATCTACCTCCTGGGTTTCTCAGCAGGGGCCCTGGCAACACCAGGCTTGTGCCTTCAGAATGACAGATCCAGCCCAAAGAGATGGTTTGTTCCCCGTCTCTCTGGAATAAGTCAGGGACCAGCTAGGGTCACAGGCCCATCTTTGAGCCAATCACCCTCCATCAATAGACGACTACAGCTGATGGGATAGGCCGCGGTCACTTTCGCTGCGGGAACCAGCCCATCCTACCTGAACTAC